ATCTATAGCCTCTCACACCTTCTTGTAAGTAATTTTTCTCCACTCTTCATTGTTTATCTCTTCCTTACCTTTATTTTCTTAATATACAATTAGATCTATGAGCTTCTGATCAGTCAGTAATTCTTCAATATTTCTTTCTTCTGGATAGTCAATGTATTCTCTAATATTCATTTTGTTTGGCAAATGAAGTGCTTCAATATTAGTCTGCAACTCCATCAAGTCATCACTATCATCACCATCACTATTACTATTACTATTACTATTACTACTACCATCACTATTACTATTGTCATTGTTATCACTGTCACTATTATCATTATCATTGGCCACTAGAAGAATTCTTGTGTATCAAAAATAATTATTTATTGTTGCTAGAGATACTTCATACCAAGTCTGAATAATAAATTACATGATGGTAAGAATATTTATTTTATTATTTCTGATCACAAATTCAGATTTATATCTTTCAAGTAACCACTTTACAAAATAGTGTCAGTAATAACACTTAAAAGACATAATAATACCAGCATCTATAGGTTGGATTCAGGATGTTATGTTTGGAGGAAGGAGCTGAATAGTCATATTATGAAGATTCAAATTGCTAACATGACTTGGTGCATTATCTATTAAAAGAATTACTTTGTGGCCAGCCATTTTCATATTGAACTCTTTAAGTCACCATTGAAATAACACTCCTATCATTCACGCTTTAATACTTGTCTCATATGTAATACCAAGATTATTACGGTTTACATTTTTAAAGTAACATGGGTTGAGAGACTTGCTGATAACAAATGATTTGATTTTATCTGATCCATTAGTATTGGTACAAAGTGCTATAGTTAATCATTCTTTGTCTTTTTTTTCCTTTAAAACAAATTGTTATCAATATGATATCAGATTCAAGACTAATATAAAATTAGATTAATATAATTTAAATATTGTAAATTAAAATATAATTATATTCATACTGATAAAATAATCCAGTCTCATCCATATTGTATATATCTTTTAGATCATAGTTCTTTAATACTTTTCTTAACTGAGAAATTGTGGTAGTGGCAGCAACATGATCTGCAGAAGTATCTTCTTCATATTTTTTTATTTTTTCAAGTCTACATCTTTTTTTAAATTTAGTCAATCAATCATGTGAAAACTTAAAGCTATCATCAGATATATTTAATTCTTGTCCAAAGTTTTTTGCTTTTTCAATAATAATCACATCTGTTATCATTATTTTGTCTTGGTTTCATAAAATTCACTCATACAATATGTTTTCTAACTCTGGATATTGAATAGTTCTTTATCTTTTAATGAAGTGATTTCTTGTAATATTCTCTTTTCATTTCATTAAATGGCTGATAGTGCTTGGGTAAATATTAAGATCAAATATTTCTTTTACTCAAGTGACAAGTTCTACATGATTAATGCTAGAGTTTTGGTCTTTATGTGTGATAATTGCAAGTCATTACTCATTGTTAAGAGTAGTTTTTATGTTTTTAGAAACCATATAAAACACTAATAGTTTTAGAAAATGTTAGGGTTATATAAAGTGTCTTTGGAATAAAGCAAATGACTAAAACCAATCTTATACGTATTTTCAAGTACATGTTCAAATTTTACACCAAATTTTTTTTGTTATCACCATTACTTTTTGAGTAATTAGCTAAACTAAACCCTAGTATTGACACATATACTATTGACAAGGATAGACTAATGTGTAAACCATTAGGTAATCATTCAGAGTGGATTATAAAAATCATGGATAATATTTTAATTGACTTGCTTTTAGCTTCCAAGTTACTAAAATTTGATTGGCTATTATTATGTGACTTGCATGTATAGAGGGATATATATATAGATAGGATCTATAGCTAGCCAAAAAATAACGTGCACTTACAAAATATAAAATATACATTTATCTATAAGTTTCATGATGGGATCAAGCATAATTATGCATTTTAAAAGGTATTACATTTAGAGGGGTTGCATTTAGAGAGGTCTGACTATATATATATAAATATTTATAATATTAATTACAAAAATTCTTTATTAATCAATCATATAAATATCATTTTATAACTATAAAATAGTATTATAGCAAATTGATAAGTAGATTTTTACTTGAATTTATCTTAATAATATTAGATTAGAAGAGACTGAATTAATTAAAGGGTAAAGAGAGAGAAATTAGATTATAAACTTCAATAATAATAAAGATTTCTAAGATCTATATCAATATCTATGAATATTATCTTTAAAAGAGAAAATGAGTAATAAAAGAAATAAATAAATCAAGAAAATTATAAAGATTGATTAGTAAAGTTACTAGTAATTAATATAATTCAGAATTTAAATTGATTAAATAGTAAAATTATTATTAATTAAAGAAGACTATAATTAAAAAAAGAGATAAAAATTAAAGTAAATAATGAAATAACTAATCAAAAAAAATATGACTTATTTATAGTAGAAATATTCTACTCTCAAAATAATAAAATAAATAAAATACAAGTATGACTTATTTATAATAAAGATTTTTTATTTTCAAAATAATATCAAAAATCAAAAATTAATATAATATTATAATTCAAATCAAAATTAACTTTATATAGTTAAAGAAATAAAATCAAGTAAGAAAAAGAATACTAGTATAATTAGAAAAGAAATCTTATAAAAAAATTATAATTATTATAATAATAAGCTTTTTAATTATATTTTTCAAATAATTCAATTCAAAACTATTTATTTCAAGTTGGAATAACAGATTCTTTTATATATTTTTTAAATATATAAATTATTATAGTATTACTAATTAATACTATCTAATATATATATTATTATTATAAAGTACTAATAATATAAATATTAATATTAAAAATATAAATATTTGTAAATATTTGAGGATATTAAAAGATATTTAAAATATCAATATTTATAGATATATATAAATATTTATAATCTTTAAAATATTAATATTTATAAATATATATGAATATTTATGATCTTTAAAATATTAATATTTATAATTATTATTCTAAATATAATCATTTTACTAAAAACTAAAAATAATCTTCTAATATATTATTTTATTATATATATAAAAATTATATTATATGTAATTCAAAAATATAAATTTCAAATAAAAGAAAATAAGATATAATATTTAAAAAAAATAAAAATATAATAATAAATATAATAATAAAAATAAATATAAATAAAAGAATAAAAATAATTATATAATAAATATGAAATTATAAAAAAATAGAATTTTACATAATTAAGAAAAGATTATGAAATTAAGGAATTTTATATTATTATGATAATAATACAATTTTTTATTATATTATTTAATTAAAATATTAATTATATATTTTATTAATTTATAATATATATATATAAAATATATTAAAAGTTATAAAATAATTTTAAATAAAAAAAGAAAAATAATTTTTTATAAATAAAAATTTATTTAATAAATAATTTTATTTTATTTTAAATTAAAATAAATTTTTTAATAAATTATTAATATTATTTTAATTAATATTAATATAATTAATATAAAAATTAATAGTAAACATATTTTTTATCTATAATTTAATAAGAAATTACTAAAAATTTACAAAATTTAGAATAATAGAAACAAAATTTTTTAAGATTACAAAGTATATTAATATAGTAATATTTTGTGAAATCACATATTAAAAATAATATATTGAGAGATTATTCTGATTAAAATACTATAAAAAATTATTTAAAAATATTTTTTATAAATAAGTATAAAAATAATTTTATAGAAATATATTTAAAAATATAAAAAATATATTTATAATTTAAAAAATTTTAGTTAGTATTTATTAAATAAATACCAGTCAAAAAATAACTTAATTTTGATAAATTTCATAATAAAAATAATATTTTTATTATATTTTATTATATTTTATTATGAAATTTATCAAAATTGACTAATATTTATTAACTAAAATTTTTTTTAAATTATAAATATATTTTATATCTTTAAATATATTTTTATAAAATTATTTTCATACTTCCTTATAAAAAATATTTATAAATAATTTTTATAGCTTTTTAACTAGAATAGCTTCCAGATTCTTCATCTTTAACACATAATTTTGCAAAAGATTACTATGTTAATATGCTTTGTAATCTTAAAAAATTTTATTTTTATCATTCTAAAGAATATAATGCCAAATATTTATGATATTTAAATAATTTTTTATTAAGATATTGATAAATTTCAGTAAAAAATATGACTATCATTACTTTTCATGTTGATTATATATAATAATAACTAATAATTAATAAAAATAATATTTGTATAATTTAAATACAAAAATTTATTATAAAAATTCTGTTAGTATTTTTTTTTAGAAATATTTCTAATTTATAAAAAGTAAATTAATAATAAAAATTTGATATATTAATATAGAATATTTATTTTAAAAATAAAAATAATTTGATTATCTTTTTTAATATTGTTTAATATTATCATATAATTTTAAAATTTATTAAATAAAAATTATATATTTAAAAAACAAGAAAGTAATTTTAAATAATTATGAAAATTAATATTTTTTATCAAAAAGTTTTAACAAATTAAATTCTATTTGATAAAAATTTCTTAATAAAAGTCACTCAAAATTTAATTAATTTTTTATATTAAGTATTATTTTTATCAATTTGCAATATCAGAACTTCAAATTATGCAGACATCTTGTCTTATATTTAATAAAATATTTTTCAAATTTCATAGAGCTCAAGTTAGTAATTATTATGAAATTAAGTCTAAAGTTTAACAATTATTATATATTTTGTAATTCAAAAAAGTTATTGCTAGTAAAACTTTTTATAAAATATATATAATTAAAATAATTGATTTGAATATCTAATAACTTAATTAAGAATTAAAATTTTATTTTATTAATTTTTATTTGAGGTACAAAATCTTTTTGCACCGGGAGCGTCGGATCATCAATCGGATGAGCGAAAATGGAAGGTTTGTTTATTCCGGTATCCCACTTCCAACAATCAATAAAAAATATTATTAATGGATCGGATTAACCTGTATTACCAGAAGTACATGATGTACCATCGTACATCTAAATCGAATTTTCTATCCAAGTGTTTCATGTTCTTTCTTTGAATGTTGTAAAAGTTCCTTCATCTTCTAATTAAGATGAATGGTTGAAAAAAAGATTTAAGAATAAAGACTTTGAATTTCATAATTCATGCATAAAAAGAATAGTTCTAAAAACGCATGGCTGATTTACCAAGTTTTTAATCATTCAAGTTATCGCTACTGCGTCAAACGACACAATGACAACGGCTTTATTTTTAAATCTATTAATAGTCATTCAAAATAATGCATTTTCATTCAAAGAACATATTCACGAAATTGATATTACATTGTTAATAATTAACATGACTAATTGTAAAATATAAAACTTCGACGAAAAAGTATATATTTAAAAAAAGCTAATATAATCGATGAAACTGAACGACAATGGACTACCCAAATTTCAAAATGCACTAAATTTTTGATTCTTGATCCAAATTAGGAATTTGAAATTTGATTTAAATAAAACTGATTCGAAAGAAAATTCATTCCGGAAGTAAGATTTTGTTTTCAAATTAATAAATCTTACCTTTGAAATAAGAATACAAATAAAAAATGAATAATGCTGAATATTTTTATTTATCAGAATTCGAAAGAAAGCTTCTAATTAAACGTCCTTATGCTCTTACTCTCACAATTGAAGAATTAACAAAGCCTGCCAAGAAAAATCGTAATAAATGTGACAGACCACCACGACAACAAAACAGTTGGATTATATTTAGAAAAGATTATGAAGCTAAGCTACGTCTACAAAGTCCTGATGTTAAGCAAAAAGTCAAACATACAGCAAAGGAATGCAGTTTAAAGTGGAAATTGCAGTCAAATGATGTCAAGCGTTTTTTTAAAATATTAGAGAAAATAGCCTATGAGAATCACAAGCATATTTATCCTAATTATAAATATAAGCCAAAAAGTGCAAAAGATTCAAACCGTAAAGAAATTATTTTTTGAGAACAGAAAAAGTATGTATTTGCTTCACCGGCTGAGTCTAGTACAGTAACTTCCAATCCACTTCAAGCAGCAACACAAATCGATGGGACGTCCTCTTTAGTTTTCAACACACTTCAAGAAACAATACAAATCGATGACGCACCAACTTTACCTTGCAACCCATTTCAAAAAGCAATACAAATCGATGACGCGCCATTTCTACCTTTCAGTCCACTTCAAGAATCAATACAAATCGATAGTGCACCATCTATACCTTTCAATTCACTTCAAGGAGCAATACAAATCGACGGGACGTCATCTCTATTTATCAATCCATCTCAAGAAGCAACACAAATCGACGGGATGTCATCTTTAGCTTTCAATCTGCCTCAAGAATCAATCCACATTGATGGCGCATCATCTCTACCTTTCAACCCATTTGATGGAGCAATACAAATCGATATTATAGCATCTCTACCTTTCAACCTACTTGAAGAATCAATACAAATCGATAACGCGCCCCTTCTACCTTTTAATTCACTTCAAGAAGCAATACAAATCGACGGGACGTCATCTCTACTTTTTAATCCATTTCAAGAAGTTATACAAATCAACGGGATGTCATCTCTACTTTTCAACCCACTTCAAGCAACCAAATCGACTGGACGTTATCTTTAGCTTTCAATTCACTTCAAGAATTGATGGTACGCCATCTCTACCTCTCAATTCACTTCAAGAATTGATGGTACGCCATCTCTACCTCTCAATTCATTTCAAAAAGCAACACAAACCTACAGCGCGTCATTTAATTTCTAATCAAGATGAGAATATGCTAAAAATTCGCAATGCTCTTAAATGAATTTATGGAAAAAAAAGTGGTATGATAATAATAATTCAATTAAATACTTTTTCAAAGCTAAACCCATTCATCACTAATATTTCAATTTCATCACCGATATCTTCACCCTTTTACAACTACATATGACAAAGGGTGATTTATTAAATTTTATGTTTGACAGTTTAGTTTGGTATATGATAATTTTTTCTTAATTTTTAGTTTTTATTTTATGTAATTAAATGCATTTAGACAAATTTAACCAATTAGATAATTCTGGCTTAATTTTCTTTCTATTTTTTATCCTCTTTTTCACTTCTGCATCCATTCCTTTAAAATAAATAATATAGGAAAGCATCATAAATGATTTTATTAGACGATGTATTCATTAGCTTCATTCTTTTGTTACTTATTTCGTTCTTTTGTTACCTCGTACTTCGTTATTCCGTTGTCATCTCGCTGCTTCGTTACTTCATCTTTCGTTATTTTGTTTCATTCTTCGATACTTTGTCCTTTTTTTTTGTTTTCATTCTGTTCTCTAGCTTCTTATGATTTGTTATTAACTTCAGTCATTTTCATACGTTTCTAAATAAAAAAAATCGGAAAGATTAACTGATGTGACAAACTGCAACAAAAATCCAAACTGCCTTAATCAACAAAACGCAATTTTCTGAAATCATTTAAGCCATTAATCTTCCTCAAAGCAGTCAATGAGCGATCTTTATCAAATAATAGAAAGTATAGACTAACATTATCTGATTATTATTAAAAAGAAAAAAATAAAGACATAAAGTCCTTGTAAAGAAATAGGTGCACTACTAATCTAAACCAACCAATTTTGAAGAGTAACTTGAATACTAATAACTTCAAAAAGAAAGTGCGATCATAAAACAGCTTCTAGCTTCAAATAGAAAATGCGATCATAAAACAGCTTCTATTTTCCGATAGCTTTTGATAAGCTCTATAATAATATAGAGCTTTTTATTTGCTCATCTCTTGCATCTGCTATTACATTTAAATTGGTCTGTTTTATTATGAAGGTTTTAAATTCATCATTTAAATTTTGGCCAAAATTTTTGTGGTGTACTCGGGTAAACCCGAGGGACCGAAGGTCCCTCGGAATTTTTAAAACAGCATATCTATTTTACATACCGATAAAGTTCAAAATGCCGACAGTTCATAAGCTCGACAAACGAACGGCGTGATCGAAATTCTGAACGAACGACATCCCGAATAAACGAAATCCGAATGAACGTAATCCCGAATGCACGAAATCCCAGAATCGTGATAATTTTGATATTCCATGCATTTGGGATGCTATAATTCGGGATTTCATTTGTCGTGTCGGGATTGTGTTTGTCGTGATTTCGTTTTCACAAATCCGTGAAATATTACTTCAGTGCACATCAATTGTTTTATTGAATTATTGAATAAAAATCTTAACTCAGAGAATAAAAAAAGTTCACAATGCAAGAATAGTTTTGCCTCAATGAACATTAATTTTCACAACTTTATAACTTTTGGTATTTTGAATGTTTGTCGTATAACGTGCGATGCAGTTACAATCAACGTTGTCTAATCCTTTTGACCGATAAAAAGGAAATTGTCAAAACGTCAAAGTTAGGTTAGATTTGACATCCGTTAAACCTTTAGGAAACTTAATACGAATTTACAACGATAAAAAAACTGCTATACTGTATATATGTAAATCCAGTTCGAATTTAGAGAAACAATAAATCCGGATAGTAGTTCTCATTTAATCACACGATCTAATCTTATGATTTATGTTTCTTGAAAATACCGGAAAACATTATGGAAACCCGTACCTTTGTTCGAGCTTTTCTTCTAAATATGTATTCTGTATATCGATATCGTATGTTGAGTGAATATACATGTATAAAAAATTTTTCGCCCATTTCATTTTTCCACGTTTTTTCCTGTCTGAAAATGGAGCTCTAGACAATGCAAGTACGTATTTTTTTTGTGAATTAGAAATTATATAATGCGCGTGAATTTACATGATTAACAAAACAATGGATTAATAAGGTAAAATAAAAAAAAGTAGTATGATGTTCTATTTTGACACCACACGGTTGATGACAAGAATAGTAAGAATAACGAGAGACAATTGCTCCGCACTGCCGGATCGGAAAAATTATATTTATAGATTATTTGAAATTTTTGTGGCTTTCAAAAAACTTTTGATTGCTTAAAATATCAATTTTTTGATGTTTTCGCCCGGTGGATCTGCCCGTACATCTGATTGGATTACAAGGCAAGAGGCTAAATTTCGAAAAATTTGTGAGACATTTATTAGACAGAGTTCATCAATTTTTACACATTATCGTACGATCTTTCAAAACTACAATCTTTATCCTATTCGGAATAAAAAAGCCAAGTGAAAAATTTTAGTCCAAAATCTATACCGAAATGTGTGCTATGCCCATAACGGTTATTGATTTTAGTAATCAGGTATTGAACTATAAGAATTTTACTTTAATTAGTTAAAAAGGATTTCCTCTCTTTTTACAATGGAACCCTGTTCCATTGTTTACAATCCACTAGTTCAGTTTGATTGACAATGCATTCATTAGATTTTAAGTTTTTTTTCTGATCGTCTGAAGTGTAGTTAAACTGTCGTACATATTGGTTCATATGAACAAGTATTTTTAATAGCCCTTTTGATTATTCGCAATGTTCTGTTAGCGTAAAATCTGGATGACTTGTTTCATAACAAGTCTATTAAGATGTCTATGTATACTTGCGTAATAACAGGTTGAGAAAACAATCGGTAAATGAAATTAATAATTTTAAATTAATCAAATAATTAAACTCATTCTTCTTCCACGATGTAATACACATTTCCCCATCGTCTTAAAAATAATCATGTTATCAATTAATTAAAAGAATCAGCAATCAGAAAACTCCATTAGGGAATTTTGAGTTATCATGAGAGTCTTTAAGAGGCATACATACGTAAGGATGTACATACATATCCTCACACAAAGATGACAGAATTTTGCTTTTCAGATTAACCTAATTAATATAAGAAACGAAAGATGGTGTGCGTGTGTGCGTGCCTCTTAATGCCAAATTTCTCTTATTTTTCTGCCATTGAAAAAAGATCCCTGCGTTTCCCTTCGTACACTCCTCCAAATGGTGGTGACGCTTTCATAACGTCAAATGATATCACGCGTTCGCCTTGAAGAGTCTTTTGTGACGATTTCATAACGTCAAATGACACAGGGGAATTTTACTAAAAAAGTTTGAGTTTGTTTTTTTGTGTCATGGAGAACCAAATTATTGGTCATACATTAATCAAATATTTTAATGGCACGACAAAATGATAATGGATATGTGCACCCTTTTCAATCAGAACATGAAATATCTTGTTATTATCATCATCATTATTATTACTATTATAGATTGATTTTATTGAACTTGTTTCAGAAATTAAAAATAAAAACATTAAATTTATGAGTCAGCCAGCAAATGAAACATCACTAAATTATTCTTTTGTGTATATGCCAAGATGATTGAATAGTTCAAGGATGTGATTCTATAAAATAAATGCTAAATAAAGTAAAGAAATAACAATAAAATCTATAAAAATTATTTATGCTATATTTATTACTATTATTAAAAAGAGAATAATAAAAGATTACTATAATATACAAGGTACTTGAAAGATAAATAAAGTGTATTAATTTTTTTCATGTGTTCGAATTAAAAATAGTAATATAGTCAGCCAACACACATACACACACACGCACACACACACACAGCGAGATTCAACACAATATCAATTCCATCCTGGAATTTAAAACTCAGTTATTTACAATAAATCTAAAGAAATCAAGTAATGTCTATTAACTCTGCGTATAAAATTTTCGAATCCAAGAAATAAAAATAGTCGGATTAGTGAGATTGACGATTATCCGATGATGACCATAAACTGGCAGTGCGCGTGATGCGATTTGGATTGTAATGAGATGTCGTCGTGTTATTATTATTATTCATTTCATTTATACCCACTATTGCTTCTTCGAAATTTGATCGATTTCCTTCTTCCGAGATTAATGAATTATTGGCTTCTATCATGGATGTTGGTGTATAATGACTATTATGCTGTTGAAAAGTTGACGCATCATTATAAGGATGAAATCGGGTGTTTGTTACAGGTCTGGCATTTATCCAATGATTTTCTCGATTGTTTTCAGCGTAGTTTAACAATGTGTTATTATTGTTATGATTATTACTATTGTTATTATGATCCCAATGATTATTTTGCGTAGTTGATGATGCGGTGGATATCGCCGGAGCGATGGCAACATTAGTGCTTGTGTAATAAACGTCATCGTTTAAATTTGGCGAGTTTGTTGCGGAAGAAGCAACTGAAATGTCATTACTATTTCCCGAATCCAATGACTCTTTTCGAATCCTTTCTTGTCTTTCCAATTCTGCAGTTTTTTCTGCAGTCAAAAATCGTCCACCAGGCCCACGGGGCCGACGCATGGCGTGCAAATGCCGAGATTCATGAATGTATGGCTATAATAAATAGATAACAATAACAATTGGATTAATAACAATTAAATAAATGGTGATTATTGATTGTGAATGTTGATGATCTTTGTTGATTCACGGATTACAAATCATATTTATTTTGATTACCAATTAACGATTACGCTTTGACCAATTTTGCCACTTTAAATGAGAACAAATAGGAAACAATCGTATCAAATAAGAAATATTTACCTTTCTTTGTTTCGAAAGATTGTGGGCCTTTTCAAATTTTTCTCTTGCGATTCTTCTCTTCAAGATCCTATTAAACTGTTTTGGGTTGATTAAGATCGGTTTGATTTCATTTTCGTTTTCCTGCACCTCTTGTTTTATGAATACGTCAACAACCGGTTCCAATTTGATTGGTACCGGCGATGACGCTGGCAGAAAGTGGTAGATGTGCGATGAGTCAATCAAATGCTGCTGTCGTTGTTGTGGTAAATGAGGTGAGCTTAATGTGGCTCCGGTTTCGCCGGACCACATGGAAGGTTGTGGATGAGATTGTTGATGACGTTGTTCATTCGCTCTCATTTGATGTAATTTGTATTCTGTATGTATCATGTTGTTGCGGTTGCTATCATCATTAATAGGTAATTGTTCTTGTGGTAGTGACTGTTTATTGATAGATAACAAAGTCGGGTTAAAAAAAAAAAGGTTATTCAAACTTGTGCAAATTAATAAATAAATAAATAGATAGATAGATAAATGCATACCATAACCTGAGGCTGTTGTTGTTGTTGTTGTTGATTATTCTATTTTTTTAAAGAAAGGATTATGTACATGAATATTATTATTACCGTCTTTAAAATGCATTATGTAGGATAAACAATGAAGAAAGAAATAGTACCAGAAAAAGTTCAGATACATGTTGAAGACGAGGATGCTGTGTTGGTGGTGGTGTGTTTTGTAGTGGTGTGGGTGGTAGAGGTAGCGATAGTTGATCATATTGTTGATGTTGTTGAGATGCAACATATTTATGAAAGTTATCCTGATTGCACATAGAAGAAATATTTTTCTTTTCAAAGTGTAAAAATTAAAAATACTTGAGTTCAAAGAGCATAAATAAATAAATAAAGATTGGACAAGAAAACATAAGAGGAAAAAAGGAGCTGCATTTATTTATATATGCGCTAAAAATAATTACCGTATTGTAAATAGAGGGTGATGATGATTCGATCTCGTTTGACGCAGTAGTGATAGCATAAATGAAATTCTGATGATTAAGATCTTGGTTGTAACGTAAAGGAGGGGATGGCGATGGGGATGGGGATGGGGATAATTGACAGCGTTGCTGTTGTTGAAGTTGATTAAAATGGTGGAATGAGAAGTCCGAATTCTCCTCCATCTCAAATAGTAGTGAATCAAGCATGAGTTTTTTACGAAGTAGTATTCTTTTATTATCCGTGAATTTATGATTATTTATGAATGGTGATTGATTTTGTTTGTATTTTGTTTGATTAAAATTAATTAGATTTAATTTAGTTGAGTTTTGAATGTAAGGAGTCGTTTAATGTTGATTATATAAAATTCGTTGTGTACTTTTCTTGTGGGCGAATAATTGATGTGATAGATATATGCTGCTCTTATTAGACTTTTTGTTATTTGGGGGTGGTGGATGAATTCAAATTCTTTTAATCTTGATGGGTGGGAGAGTGGGAGAGTAACGACGATGATTTTTATTGTTACTCTGGTGATTTTCTTCTTTTTTCGAAAAGATGAATGAGGCAGGTAGGTATCGGGATTTAAATAAACTTTTTTTTGTCGGAGGCTTATATTTTGCGTTTAGTAATAATCTATATATGTTAGCTATTTCATGTACAATTGTATATATTCGTATATCAAATTTCGTGACGATGTTCGTTTGAATGAAATGAATTATTTTGACTGACTATTGAGGTTTACAAATAAATAAATAAATAAATATATTTAAAAAATAAAGAGCACACGTCGTCGTTATATAATAATTAAATAGTAATTAATTGTGCAAGAATGAATATTTATATTAATTGTATCCGTCGTGTTGAGGAGATGGTGGTCGTGTTAGTGTTTTTTTGGTTTTGTTTGCTTTTTCTGGATGTTTTGACGAAAGCGGGTGGTGGGTTGTATACAGTACAATAACGAAAAATATACTATAATAAAGATGATCTCCTGACTAAAAAGAGCAGAGGAGAAATAAATGAAAAATAGGTAAGATTATTTTTTAGCGTGTGGTAGATTTTAGATTTTCAGAACTTTAAAATTAAGTTTTTTTTTGGTCGTCGACGTGGTGGTCTTCGTCGTCGTCAAAAAAAAAAAGAGTAACTAAGCAGAAAAGGACACAGAACGAAATCCGTAATAAATACATAGTAACAATTAAAATATATTTAATAAAAGGCACATAGAAAGACCTATTACATAAAAACGCTACTATTACAGGCATTAACTTAGTTCCTAGTTATTCGCTTATTCGAATACCGCTGTTTTGATCTGCACACATATTTTTTATACTATACTTGCTTCTTTCTATCCATTTTTGAATTTGCAGAATGCTTTTAATGTATTTTCCATTAGTTAATTACATTATGGACCAGTAAAAACGGATAATACCGAAGAATAATACATTATCGTTATAGCAAAAAATAAATAAGTGTATCAAATAAAATTAGCCAAGAAAATGACAAATATGTTCATCCTATCGGAAAATTTTTTACATGCTACAAAAGTAGTAGGTTCGTCTGGTATGTGTCACAAAAAGTACTAGTATGTAGCAGATACAACCAATACGTCATAAAATGTCTTTTCGAAAAGGAAGTTAGCCATATATCATCTAATTTCATGATCACACGCTGACTCACTCTAGTCATCTAATGTATTATCATATACCGTAGTATTATAAAAGTTTTGTTGTGGGCCCGTGCTAATAAACTTCCAATGATCCCATCTATCCAATATCTACGTAAGCATGCACATTCCACATTCTCTTTCCTAATAACATACTTGCTCATCATTCTCTTTGACTTCCTATTTTGACCTTCAATATAAAAAAAAGAAGGTAAGCTGATTTACATTCAGCGGAGAGGGGTGAGACAAAAAAAAATTTATGTTTAAAGCTGTTTCTCGATTTTACACGAATCATTGTTGTTTTTAAACCGTGAATTTTTTTTTCATCTAAGAAATTCATGCACGCGTGCACAAACACGCACATTATTTAATTGTAGAGTGTTCGGAATAATGTTGCGATCTTCTCTTACATGTTGTTGACAAAAAAGTCTAAAGAATAAAGCAAAGAAGATTATTTTCGGATTTTCTGGATATGTGTAACCAACAACATTCGAGGAAACAAACGTGCAAGCGTAAGTTAAATGCGTATCCTGTGCTTTGTGTAATTTAATACAAGTCGGTATCAATGGATGTCTGGGAAATTAAAAATCGACAGAACATATTCACAATGTCCCAACACACTATTTATTGCATACATAAATTAGCACATCAAAAAATGCTATTTTTATTAAAAATATTAATAATTATATGTAATAGTTTATTTATCTGTATGAATTTTTTCTTTCCTAATTTGTTCGTTAATAATTAAGCAAAAAACTTATGATCATCTACTTGCTACCTATATATTCATTTACACATCGTTGTATTTATTGCAACACCACAAACCATCTGAAAGTCATGCAGAGATAATAGCAATGAGCTGCCCACGCGATTTCTTACCAGATGTATTGTTACCAAAAAAGACAATAAATAATGAATGAATGGATGGGTTGAGGTGTTTAAAAATAGCATTTCATAAAAACAATCAAGTGAACAATGTGTCTTAATTATTAATACTCTTAATATATCATGTGCAACCACAACTTTGATTTTCGTCAAATCACATCACTTTCCATTCTTTTATTCCAATAATGGTATTCATCGAGGCTTAATTTCTAGGTTTTTTTGCTAAGTATCCCTCATAAACTGCAATCAAATAATTAAAATTCGAATACTTATCTAGCATTTTTTTTCCGCTTTTAGACAAAACCTGTTTTTCCTTATTTAGAGAAATTACCATAGAAAGATGAGGAAATGGAAAGTCTATTTCTTGCGGTTAATTTGCCCGATGTGTGATACCAACAATTTTAATCAAAAAGTTTTAACCTTTTCGGAGAAAACTTTCTGAATATCTCTAACAAACGGTGGCAAAAGATTCCTACCTTCAACTATTAAGGTATCAATAATGAGTCCAAATCATCCCGGAGGACGGGATTGTTTGTAATAATTGTTCGTTTACGATTATCAGTTAGTAATCGATCAATGAATCAATGCCATATTTTATTTTTAAATACAAGTTATGAATTTGGCTAGCGTGAAAACCAATTGTACCGTTAAAGAGAATTGAGAGAGAGAGAGTAAAAATTAAATCAAATGCACCACGATATCATATTCTGCTAATTCACCAATCAATGGCGTCTAATAAGCATGGAAATTTTATCTGTTTTTACGTCGTCCGATTAAAAAATTATGACAATGCCTAAAAATAGACATAAGCATCATCATCATCGCATACAGATGATTGACAATTTACCCGTATTATCCGTTGGCGAAATAAAAAAATTACGTGCATACGATTAAATATGCACGCATGGGTAATTTTAAACACCGCAAAAATTTATCATTGAACTTAGATTTAACCCCATTTCGGGATAAAGTCACGTGAAATGTTAAACTACCAATCATTTATGCCAATAATCCCAAAACCGGCTAATTCCAGAATATAACTACATGTAAATGATGCAGAAGATCCGTAATGCAAAGCGGTGAATTTTACGTTCTTCATCCGTCATTGTGTTGTGCCACCTATTTGACTTTTATCTAAAAATATAACCGATAATGCAAAGTTGTTGCTTTTGGTTTTACTCCCCACCAATGAAAAAATTCACCTTATCATTAAAAATCTAATTATGAGAAACACGTGGAAAAATACAAAGTACAAAAATAAAAATTATTCAGAAACATCTTTTATTTTCTATCTAATCAATTCTCATTGCCATACATAATTATTATAATTATTATGATGCTCTATACATATATTAAGTTTGGTGTGTCCATCTATATTTCGTTACCAAAGAAAAAATCTGTATGTAAAATATTACTCTAAACCATTGATGAATCTGTGCACAATCAAAATACAATCATTTTACCAATAAAATTCAAAACACTATTCAATTGATTGGTCCAGTAGGACTTTATTCTCCCAGAAAAGTCTTGAAGTCAACAACAATTAATTAATTTCGGAGTTTTAATCATATAACATTTTTGGTGTTTGTATTTGATTATGCGATTATGTGATTCTATGCGTGAATGAGAAATTGACGAACTCTCACCACATACCAGTTTTAAATGAAAGTTTAAACTTTCAAGACACAGTATATTACCATATATGTATAATAGAAAGAGGAGACGAAAGCATGGAAATACCCGTGACGACAACTATAATCAATCGCTGTTGTCCAACAATTCGTGAGAAATCCATGACTTCAAAGTCCCCTTTTCCACTAAAGTGAGCACAAATGAGCTCAATTAATAATGTGCAGGCTTGTACTAAATTCACAGATATCTCTATAACTATCATGATTGCATTTCTTCAAATACATCAAATAATATTTCGCGATTCACGATCATCCCCATCATCATACATGTACATATAAGGAAATTTATTGAGGCTAACCAAAAGTATACACATTAATTT